ATGGGACGAAGGTTGTGGAGACGTACGCCTTTCTTGATCCCGGCAGCTCTGCAACTTTTTGCACTGAGGCGTTGATGATGCAGTTAAATGCATCTGGAAAAAAAGTGGAAATCATGTTAAAGACTATGGGTCAGGAAAGGCCAGTAAGTAGCTATAAACTTTTTGGTATGGAAGTAGCTGCTTTGAAACAGAATGAGTATTTGAGGTTGCCTGATGTGTACACTCAAAAGTTTATTCCTGTCACTAAAGAAAATATCCCTAAAGAAGAAAACTTAAGAAAATGGCCTTACTTAAAGGATGTTGAGTTGACACCGATAAATGCTGGCATTGGGCTGCTTATTGGTGTAAATTCTCCCAAAGCGCTGGAACCTTGGAGAATCATTAACAGTGAGGGTAATGGACCCTATGCTGTGCTAACTCGTCTCGGTTGGGTTGTCAATGGGCCACTCAATCAGGGTAGTGAAAAGGATGAGCATGATGCTAATTTTGTCCAGGTAAACCGCATTTCTATAAGTAGTTTAGAGGAAATGCTGGTTAAGCAGTATAATCAAGATTTTGTGGAGAACCAGTGTAATGAGCGTGCAGAAATGTCTGTAGAAGATAAACAGTTCATGAACATAATGTCAGAGTCAGCTGTACTTAAGGATGGCCATTATTACTTGAAATTACCCTTTCGTAAACCTGAAGTAAGAATGCCAAACAACAAGCAGGTGGCTCAGCAGAGGGCGCAATATCTGCTAAAACGGTTTCAGAAGGATCAGTTATTCTTTGAAGAATACAAAGAATTCATGCACAATGTTAGTATGGAGGGACATTCAGAAATCATACCACAAGAACAGTTGAAGAATGAGGAAGGAAAGGTGTGGTATATACCTCATCATGGGGTCTACCACCCCCGCAAGAAAACACTGCGTGTTGTGTATGATTGTGCTTCAACATTTTCTGGAACATCACTGAACAAAGAGCTATTACAAGGCCCAGATCTGACTAGCACTTTATTAGGTGTGCTGATTCGCTTTCGGCAGGGTCCAATAGCGCTTATGACAGACATTAAAGGGATGTTTCATCAGGTCAGAGTAGCTGAGGAACACGTAAACTTTTTACGTTTTCTCTGGTGGCCCGATGGTGACATCACAAAACAGCTGGTGGAACATAGAATGCTAGTCCACATTTTTGGTGCAGTATCCTCCCCCAGCTGTGCCACCTATGCACTACTAAAGACTGCTGATGACAACCAACTTTGGGTTTCTTAGCTCCAGTCATTCTGCCTGCAAAACAAATTCTGCAACATCTATGTAAACTGAGGTTTGGCTGGGATGAGACAATACCAGCAGAAATGGCACAAACTTGGCAAAAATGGGTTAAGGATTTAGTTCTTCTTAACAAGTTTAGTATTAGTAGATGTGTCACACCCAAAGGATTTGGGGAGATAAAAAGTGCTCAGCTGCATCACTTTTGTGATGCCAGTGAAACTGGGTATGGTGCTGTATCATATCTTAGACTATCTAATAGCAAGCAGGAAGTGTGTGTTTCCTTTATTATTGGTAAAGCAAGGGTGGCGCCGTTAAAACAAGTCACCATCCCACGTCTTGAGCTGGCTGCTGCAGTTTTAGCTGTGCGCTTGGACAAAATGCTATCAGTTGAACTCAATCTTAATCTGAGTGAGTCAGTCTTTTGGTCTGACAGCACAACTGTGCTACAGTACATTGCAAACACAACCACACGGTTCAAAACGTATGTAGCTAATAGAGTTTCCACCATTCATGCTTTAACAAAAGTTGAGCAGTGGAGGTACATCAGTTCAAAGCTGAATCCAGCTGATGCAGCCTCTCGAGGAATGACAGTTGGCTGTTTCCTGAAATCTTCCACCTGGATCAGTGGTCCAGAATTTCTCAGTAAACCTGTTGTTCACTGGCCTGTAGGCATGAATTGTGTATCTGTCCATTTGGAAGCTGACCCAGAAGTAAAAGTGTTGTGTGCAGCTGTGCTGAAAGAAGATGTGTGTCCCACTACTAAGCTGCTGTTGTACTTCTCCAGCTGGACAAAATTAAAAAGGTGTGTGGCATGGATCCTGAAAGTAAAAGAAAGACTTAAACTGCAAACAAGGAAAAGACAGAAGTTGCTGGGCACGCACTGTGGAAGTCAAATATGTGTTAAGCAAGATGATAAATGGAACACTCTGCTCAAAACTGAGGATTTGTCCAAGGCTGAGGAAGCTATAGTGAGCTTTGTGCAGAGAAAACATTTTGCTGATGAAATGACTGCCCTAAACTCCGGCACTGTAAGGAAGTCAAGTCATCTGTATAAGCTTGATCCTGTAGTTGCTAATGGTGTCTTGAGAGTGGGTGGAAGACTGAGCAAAGCGGATTTACCTGAGGAAACAAAACATCCTGCAATTTTGCCAAAAGAAAGCCATGTTTCAAAGCTTATTCTTCAGCATATTCACGAAAAGATTGGTCACAGAGGAAGAAATCACATGCTTTCAACCCTTCGCCGTCAATACTGGATCCCTCATGCTAATTCAGCAGCTAGAAAAATAATCAGAGATTGCATAGTGTGTCAAAAACAACGGCAAAAGCCAGGTGAGCAGAAAATGTCTGATCTTCCTATTGACAGAATCTCAGCTGATCTTCCACCATTTACTTATGTTGGTGTTGATTATTTTGGACCAATAGAAGTAAAGAGAGGCAGGAGTCTTGTTAAGAGGTATGGAGTTCTCTTCACATGCCTAACCTGTCGTGCAGTCCACCTTGAGGTGGCACATTCTCTTGATACAGGCTCCTGTATTAATGCCATCAGGAGATTCATCTGCCGCAGAGGACAGGTCAAAGAAATCCGGTCAGACAATGGAACCAACTTTGTCAGCTCAAATCGTGAGTTAAAACAAGCTATGTTAGAGCTAAACCAAAGTAAAATCCAAAAAGGCTTAGCACAGGATGGCATAAAGTGGACCTTTAACCCGCCCTATGGGGCCCATCATGGTGGAGTATGGGAGCGCTTGGTGCAAGAAATAAAGAGAATATTATACTCTATCACAAACCAGCAAGTACTAGATGATGAAACCTTGCATACAGTTTTTTGTGAAGTGGAGGCTATACTGAATGACCGCCCAATCACACCTTCTTCTGACGATCCTAATGATGTAGAAGCTCTTACTCCAAATCACTTGCTCCAGTTAAAAGGCAAACCTGTGCTGCCACCAGGTTTATTTAAAAAAGAGGATCTGTATCTGCGAAGACGATGGAAACAAGCCCAGTATATTGTGGATCTATTCTGGAAAAGGTGGGTGAAAGAATACCTTCCTATGTTGCAGGAACGACAGAAATGGAACAAGATTCATAGGAACTTTTGCATTGGTGATGTTGTGCTTGTTGTTGATGGAGCTGCACCAAGAAATTCTTGGCCCATTGGCCGCATCACTGAAACCATGGCCGATGCACACGGAGTAGTTCGCCGTGTTAGAGTTAAGACACGAACAAATGAGCTGGAGAGACCAATCAACAAAATATGTCTCCTGGTGGAGGCCATCTAGAGGAAACAATGAATGTTTGCCTCCAACTGAGCCAAGTTCTGGAACCTCTGGCTCTACATTAACACTGACACTCACTTTGCTCTACACTCCATTATGCAACATACACCTTCTTTGAACACACACAAAGCAAACACATGAACATCAGAGACTTGAAATCATAGAACATTGACCTTTTCTTTTGTTTTTGTTTTTTAAGAAGACTTATACGGATGGACTGCTGAAGAAAGTTATTGGTATTGCATTTGGTGATGGCCACTTAGAAAGAATTAATTCATGTTACACAGGAATTAGGGGCCGGAATGTTGTGGCCATTTTTGTTGAATGTTTTTAGAATGCAATTTGTATTCATTTTTTGTTTTTTCCTTGAAGGTGTAAGAATATACTGACCTTAATTTGTAATTAATTTTATTGGATAAGCATTCGATAAGTGATTGGTTTATTAGTTTATGGACCCTCCCATTAATTAAGAGATGAAGAGCACCCGGGATGGGTGTGGTAAAGAGGTTTTTTGTTTTGTTTGCCAAATGTCAGATGGGAAGACGGGAGGGTTAGAAAATGATTTTTTGACCACTTTTGAAATTGTTAAAACAAATTAAGTTAACTTTCGTTTAAGTTTAAGTTTTAAGAAGTTATTTGGCTGATTTCTGTTTGTATTTTTTTTCCCGAAATAAACGGCATATGATTTTAAACAATGGAGTCAGAAGTGCGTAGCAAAACAAACCTCCCGTTGCCACCCACGGCCTTTCCTCGGATTTTTTGTTTGGAAAGTAAAAGGCCGCGACAGTCCGTTGCCTGGCCTGTAGAGAGGTCTTTGCATCCCTCCAGGGATATGCTTCCCCAGACCGTCACTGACCCTCCATCAAATCACTCGTGCTGAATGACATTAAAGGAAACATTCTCAGTGACTTATCCAGACACTTCTAAGTTTGTCACATGTGCTTAGAGTGAACCTCTCTCTCATCTGTAAAAAGCACAGTAGGGGACCTGCCAGTTCTAGTATTCTATGGCAAATCCATAGTCCACCATACCAGACAGTTAACACAGGGCTAAGGACACTGGGCTCTGTCTGTCTCCTGGAACGTCCTCAGAGACACAGCAAACCTACCTGTGAAACAGCCGAGCGACAATCCAAGTGTAACCTTCAATAACAGAAAATTAGAGAGCAACAATTTTACACTCAGATCATTTCTGCTTCCCTTTGGTTAGACAGTCTCTATTTATTCAGTCTTTGTGTTTAAGTTGGACACAATAAAATGTTTCTGCTTATTTACTGATTTATAACACGTAAAAATCATGATCAAAAATACAAAGATAAGGTTGTTCTCCAAACCGTTAACTGAGAAAATAATAAGCAGGCTTTAGTAAAATGGGCCATGCTATAACTTTCGGTCTCTGGAGGGAAACATTGAAAATGGATCATTTTAGAAAATAAGAACTTTTTCCTAAGTTTCTCCTGTTGTCTCTTCAGGTTAATGGTATGTCTGTGGCTGGGATGCAGCACTCAGAGGTGGTGGCAGCCATAAAGGCCGGAGGAGACGAGACTAGGCTACTGGTGGTTGACATTGAGGCAGAGGAATTCTTCCAGAAATGCAATGTTATGCCCACTGAGGAACACATCAGTGGTACCACACTTTTTACTATGTTTTCTTAATATTTAGAAGTACAAAACATAATACTGAGGAAAATTTGAAACAGAGTGAAAAGCGGACTTTTCTGTTTTGTTTGTTCTTGAAGGACCTCTTCCAGAGCCAATGGCAGAAGACAAGGTAAGGACCCCTTGCATGCACACACACAAACACACGCACGCACGCACGCACGCACGCACGCATGCACGCACACACGATGCTAATAAATTTTGTTCTCACCACTAGATGCCCTTTAAAAGGCTATTTTTTTCTACATTTACCAAAATAACAGATCATTATCACAGTTAAACAACCTAAC